CTAATGAAATTCCTCTGACGCGTTACCAGTAGGTAATTGAATACACAGGGTTTCCCAAAAAGATTAATACACATTGTAAATAAGTGTAAACATGTTTATTATAGTTTTATTATTTCAAAAGTGAAAAATATTTCAAAATTTTCATCTATTGTTTTTTTTCACCGCATTTTGACTATTGAAACAGTGACCGAATTGAGAGAAGCCATTGGACAGGAATGCACCCGAATACGAAGGGAATTGTTTCGTGGTATGTACTATTCCAGTGCTTTGCGTTATCAACAGTGTCATGATCAAAATGGATGTCAGTTTGAGAATATTCGGGGAAAAAACGATACTTGTAAATATTTTTACATTTTTACTCATAAAATTATGGTAAACAACAATGCTACAAATATGTTAAATGTGTATCCATTTTATTAGGAGACCCTGTATATTTAACAGTTAAGTTCTTATATACAAATGTCATTTAAAAATGGGAAATTTTCGGACTGAGAAGAAGACGACCTGATTGCTGGAACAATACGTTTATTCGCCTGTTGTTTCGAAATCCGTCGCGAATTTATCATCAGAGACATTAGCGAGAAACAGTAGCAAAAATAGGTAATACATGCACAGGAGTTTGCAGTATTTATAGGATGCAGTCATTACTGTAAACATACCCGATTCTGCTACTGTTTCCTGCTTATGTCTCTGATGATGCATCAGCGACGGAGGTCGAAACGTCAGACGAATAAATGTATTGTCCCAGTGATCGAGTCGTCTTCCTCTCAATTACTTCCTAAGACTCGCATGTTCACTTGCATTGACAATTTTCGGGCTGTCAGACTAGGAATTTTCAAATGTATTCTTCCAAAATTATAACCTGAAGCAGTTAATAAACTCGCGTGAACTATATTTTTTCCATTTATCCTAGTTTATAAGCATTGCATAATGAGCGCTGATTGGGTAGGGTAAACGGTTTATCTTACTAAATATTATACCATTTACAGTTGTTGTAAATATGCCTTTTTGCCAGCTCTATCACAGGTTTTGGTCTTCCCCTTGGTTGCGTCAAGCTGCTATGACAAGGTCATATCCAAGGAACCTAAAACAATTAATCTTAAATTTCCAATGTTTCAAGTGTTTACGTATAGCAGCTGGATTCTGCCTTGGAGTTTACGGAAACCTTTTTTAATCACACTAACATACAGCTTCCTGTAGCGCAGTATCTGTTCAGGCTGTAGGCTGCCAAAGCTACGTCGTCAGCTGGGATTTTCAACTTCCACATACATGTTCTCAAACACTTTATCATAAGTAAAAATTGTAAAATCCAGAGTTTCACAGGTGTTTGTTTATTAAATATTATGAACCTGCGCGGAGGTCAAAAACAAAAGAGGTTCGAAAAAAAACTGTTCATATATGTGCAGGCAACATTTTTAGCAGTGTTCGACTACAATTTGGGTGAGGAGGACGGTTTTCAACGGGAAGGAATTTTGTTTTGCAGTCGGATAACCTAGGTTTGTTGAAGTGTTTGTTTTCTGTTCGGCAAAGGTCTAGAAATTTAAGAAGGGGAGACAACTGATTAAAAATAAAGTCGAAAATAAGTGTTCACACCATTTCTTTGTCGTTGATATTAGTCTGTTCTATCTTTATGAATATAATTAACCTTGCCTTGTTATGCAAGCCTTACGTTGTTTTTCAAAAATAAGTAGTCTTGACCCTGACGTCTACATCTAGAGAATTATTTTCACTGTCGTGTCTTCTGCAGACGGCTTGATAGGAGACTCACACAACAGATCCGGAACAAACTAAACGCTGATAGGCAGCGTCTTTACGCATCGCTGATTGCATTGAACGAAAATTCAGGTACTTCCTAGTGGCTTGCTATTTTGAGCCTCAGAAATCACACCAATATAGTGAAAAGTGTCATATCTACAGCTTTTCAAGATGCCATTGTACTGCTTATCAAGCAAAAACTGCAGAAAATTGATTGTCCATTTTTTCCTATTTCATATGTAGTAACTGGTGATAACTGTTCACTGTAGTATGTCCTACGTTACTACGAAATGAGATAGGACTGCGATTGAATAGTAATACTCGATCCTACAGTTCAAACTTTACGCAGAAATGTACACTGTCAATTTTGCAATACTCGATTAATTTTAAACAAAATAGACCGCAAACAGTTGTCTAACTGAGTTTCTTTCATAAACTATTTCGTTAGAATATTCCCTATATTTATTATTGTGTCACTTTTCTATCTAGCAGGCGACAGACAATTGCATAGCGCTATTATCTACTGATGAAAGTTGGTAATTTTCAGATGTGAGTATGTCTATTTTTATCTGCACCTGTTTAAGGTCGGTAAGAATAAAAATTTTCATTTTATATAGCTGCATATTTTTACTTACCTTAGTCTTAAAAGGTTATAATAATCTCCTTTGGCACTCCTTCAGTGAAAACAAAATTTATGTTAGATAAGTTAATAGAATACTGCAAACAGAGATGACGTAATACCGTTATAATAATGAAAACACGTCAAACATATCTGTATATTTTCAATAAGCAGCTGCAAATAGAATTAACATAATTCAATTGTTCTACACGCTAACTATATATAGTATTTAATGGGAGTAAGATAAAGGGAAAGAAACTATGATTTAGTTAACTTCGAAGAGTTTTAATGGCTAATGTGCAAAAATATCTGATTCTTTGTGTCTTAATCTATGACGCAGAGATGCAAATTCACGCACTTCTCACCAAACAGGCCTTAATTGCGTTTAATTATCTCACCTGTAAATTCCTTGGACTTCGGTTCTAGCGGTTGAAACAATATTTTGCAATTAGAAATATGTAAAAATGAAAAAATAAAGTGCCATATGCAATTTCGAACGCATTCGTTTACTTAATAATTGGGAAATCTACTATTTGAGTTCAATATTGCTTTTTATATAAGGTGTGTTAAAATTATCTATCGGGTTATCTTAGGGCACGTTGCTAAAAGTAAATTTGGCATGGGGGTTTGCAGGAAATTCCGATACCTACAGTTAACAGTTTTTACCGATGTTATTTTTAGATGGAATAAAAGCTTTCAGGACGAAATTATCGTTGCTGCACTCTATGCAAAAAACGTCTTCATTTTCTGAAATAAACAGCCGATTAACCTGTTGCCAAACCCTACAAGTGCCATTTCGACATCGTCGTTAATAACGTGACAAGGTAGCTATTGCATGAACTTCCGGAGACCCGAAATCGCATAAACTGAGTATTCTTCCACGATCAATCGGCACAATACGCTGTAAGTGCACATACGGGTTTCAAAATTTCCATTCGAGCCTATGCGTCTCCTAACAACAGTTCATTCAGTATAGCAGTTACTCATCAAAGTAACGGCCGTCACAGTCAGCTGGGCTAAAAGGGTGGTGTCACTTCACGTCACGTCACTTTTTTTGTCCGCTCAGGAAGTTCGCTATAAGAGAAAGTGAACAAGAGGTATTTTTTCCTGGATGCTCTCGTCTTGCGTCCACGGGTTGGAAAGATGGCTACGACGGTCCACAAACATAAGGCTCAACATGTACCACCTACTGCATAACAAGAGAAACTGTGTCCGCACGCTATAGCAACGACTGAATATTCATTGCACTAAACCAGACACCAAAGCGGACAAGGTAAAAATACCCTCAGGGTTCATCCAGACGAAGGTTTTTGCAGCATACCACAAATGAGTACAAATGATCCCCTAGCTTGACTTCTCATCGTTGAAGGGGTTTCCAGAATCCGCGACTTGATAACTTAAACCTGTATGAGCGAGCATGCAAGTCCAAGAACTTAATTAAAAAAAACACATACGATCGCTTGGATAAGATCTTTATTCGCCTGACGTTTCGGATTCGTCGCCGATCCACTATCAGACACGGGTATTGCATGCACTACATATTCCGAGGCTACAGTCGTTATACTGCTATATGAAGTGTCGGTTCCTCCCCCGTGAGAGCAGTTCATGCCGATCGTGAATTTTTGAACTTTCTCATGCGTGCTGGGACTGAACGCCTCAGCATGGAACAGAGGTAAGACTGATCCGATTACTTGTTAATAGACTAGACTAGGCCCGTAACCCATGATTCAAACAAGTCGCCGCTCACACGATTTTCACCACTCACGGGAATGTTGGCCTCATCAAATTTGGATGTGCGGCTGCGATTCGCCAATTGAGCGGCCATTCGAGAATCGACGTCATTTTGTCCATACTGCTGCTGCATGTTCTGCAAGTCGCGTCTGGTAAAGACTTCCAGTTTCTCCGACGAAGTTTTTTTTTATTGGCGACTGCTTCAGATACGTCAGAAATTCAACTTTTGACTTGTCATGCCAGTGGTTCTTTTGGTTTCATTACTTTACATCTCTAGCTAGATCATTTGGGCCACTTCCCAACGGTGCTAGCAACAATCAGTTGGCCACCGGAAAACCGTTTTCGTAACGGCAAAATCTTAAACGTTGTCTATTGCTACCAAAAGACAGCAGACGCGCAGGCATGTGAGGTAGTTAGGACCCAAGCTAGGACGTAGGAGCCCAAGCAACACATATTTAAAATTGACGTCACTGTGGTTGCGGGCCGTGTCAATGACCACACATCAAAGCAGATGGGAGAAGTCCGGACGTCCGCGGACTGCCCCCCCCGATTGCCACACCACCATTCAACCCCCTCTATCTGATTATCGTTAACATCAGCGGTCTGTGATGGCATGAAAAAATAGAGGCCAGTACTTTTCGCCGTGGTGAACGGCGGGAGGGCTGCAGAGGTCATGGTGCACCGAAGGACTGACGCAGGCACTACGGCCAGTAGAAGAGGCCTTCGCATATGTCTAAGGAGCCATGTCGAGACAGCTATGAGTATGGCTCCGGATGCTTAGATGACACCTAGGCGAAAAAGCTACTTGAAACATCAAATTTCAACTAAATCTCTCCGGGTGAACGTCTCTTCGCTTTTGTTTTTCTACAATAGTGTGAAAATACGAAAGGCTCATTTAAACGTAACAGGTATCACGTATAAAATACTGACTTTTAGTCTTAGCAGAGGACTTCTTCTTCGGCTTCTTCTTCTGCTTCTTCTTTGAGGCCTCCTCATCAGAGGACGAATCATCTGAAGATGAGGAGTCTGTAGATAAATAGAAAACAAACAATTAAGTAAACTGATATGTTCGCGGAAGGCATTTGTGAATTTTACTTAATCAGTGGATTTACCGTGCTTTGACTTTGATTTTCCTTTCTTGCTCTTCTTATTCTTGTTCTTTTTCTTCTTGTCATCCTCGTCCTCGGAGGAGGAGTCATCCGAGGATGAAGAATTTGGATACCTCTCTGAAACAATGCATTTGCAGAACCAAATGAGATTTACATAGATGAGAGTTCCGAAAGCAAAAACCCGCCTACATGAGCACAATTTAGCGGCCCGCAGGCTAGACGCAAATTTGCAGCTGCTAATCCATACAGGAGAGACTGACCACACAGGTTCGACATTTAAGGAGCGACAATGTTAAGCCGACCCACCTCAAGAGCAAAGTGACCGGCACGTTAGGCATAATTTTCAGATGCCAACTCCGTTAAGCATACATTTAGACATTCCTGTTACCTATACTGCCATGGGCCTTTAGGTGGATGCGAAACAGGACCAGGTCAGACCAGCCTTATGAGAAATGAGCAAAGCAGGTTGCGTGACGAACCCACCGGAAGAGAAAGCAGACCTGACAGCAGCCCATCCCTCTCCAGGTGATGAAACGCCCATGAAGCTACGCAAAAGTTCGATCGTTGGTTATGACATGACTACCGTGCGTTGCACATTGTGATGGAGCAGTGGTGGTGATTTACGCTTGCAGTCGTTTTACGCGGTATTAGACTAAGGATTCAGCTCTTACCTGGTCCAAAACATCCACAAGAGGGCCGAGGCAACGAAAGAGAATAAGATCGCTCAATTTACGGTCATATAGTACAGTCGATCATTCAAAACTCTGATCTAAGTTGGCTCCAAACGCATTGTGAATGGAAAGCCGATCAAGCCTTCCAAAACCTTCACAGGAATTGAAAAATCTAATTCCACATGTAACCTGAACTTCTTCAAACCACATGAGAAACGATTTGCGATGACACTGATGTGGAGCAGTGCTTATTTATTACTGAGACACGTCTTACGCTCAGAACCGTTGCCTGTTTGCGGAATGTAACAATAAAAAAATGATCATCGGGAATCGATATATTAACGCAGAATGCAGAAGTCTTAAGCGAAGATGCATCAATGTAGCATATAAGCCAGAAGCAATGGTTATGGAGTACTGTTTTCATTTTTCATGATTTTACTCTGCCAAATAATAAAAAAATTTCTCCAGTCCACAATGTACGAGAAGATGTCCGTTTTAGTAATTATTTTTTTTATCTCAGTGCGCAAAGGAGATCTTATGCAGAACTGTTTGTGTCATGAGAAGGGACAATGGAACACTTTCTTTTATTGCACGAACGCCTGCTCAGACCGCTCTGGTCTCATGTGTGCAATGTATGGCGGTATATCTTTTGTTAAGGGTTTTTTGGCAGATTTTCTTAATTTTGGTTGACCCAAAAGTGAAAAACTCGCGGCGTCGGCAAGGGTCGACCCCCACAGCAGGCAAGGCCTTTGCGCAGTCAACGCCCTACCAATTGAGCTATGAGGCTTGCCATGCACCATGAATTTAATCACACTTAGATCGATTTTACCCGCCCAACTTACCGCTCGTATGGTATATACCATTACGGAACAGCAAGCTGACTGCCCAAGCAGGATTACCTAAGAAATCATCTATAATCCCCCAGGCTGACTACTAGGCTGACTTAATTGTTAGGGTTTTTTGGCAGATTTACTCAATTTTATTTCACTCAATTTTGAAGAAGAAACGCTAGAAGCTTTAGAATTATTAATGACATAAAAAGTTATGTTGAAAGTGAACTCTAAGATGGTTTGTCACTTAAACCATGTTCGCCGTAAATCGGGGGGTGTACCCGATACTCACCTATACACGTCAGTTTAGTTGTCTTTACGACGTCTAAAAGTATATCGAATATTTACCACGTCAAAATAAAGGCCTCGGGGTGAGTGAAGCAAAACAACTGTTTTCCAAAAGCACTTTCGAATTGATCGAATGGTTAAGGTTTTCAGCAAAGACGTATATAACATTTGTTTTCAAATTTGAAAGAGCACGCGAGCATTATAAAGAAGATTAAGTTTCTATTCTACTTACCATAGAAGCCTACAAAGGACAGACACCAGTTTAAATGTAAATTATTGTTTGCAGCCGATTCAATAAATTCACTTTATTCAGACATTATAATAACAAGTTTAAGTGTAGGCTTAAGTATATCTGAAGGAAAAAATCTACGAAAGATTTAAAATGGCCGTCATTTGATGGTACTTCCAGTCCACTGTCTAGGTTATATATCAGATCACAAAATACACATAAGGAATTCAACCTTCCTTATGTTAATTTTTTAATTTTTTGTTAGTGGTAATCGGAATATGGGAAATACTGGCGGCAGTGGCATGCAAATAAAGGAAAAATGGAAGGCGACTGTTGAGGTTAGCAGATTATTCTACATACGTGTTAACACCTGATGCAATGCCATAGTACCCCATAATGCAACTATAAGGATGCAGTTCGGAGGCCAGCTTAATATTCAACAATTTGCCAAATTGCATGATGTTGGTAGACTGAAAGACGACTTTATTCTCCTATTTATAAATCTTCTGGTAATTATAAGGTAAAAAGCTTCTATGCACCTAGTATTGGGCGTTGAGTGTCTATTCCAGCGAAGGATCCTATTGTGTTCGATCATCTTAACTGGTGCAGCATCAGCAAGATTAAAATGGCCAACAAAACACTAAAAAGTTAAAAAAATCGCAAATCCGGGAGTGGATAAAACAATTAAGTGTTTGCCTGATGCTACGGAAGCCGTACCTTTATCTTTTCGGTGACGTTTCTTCTCACCTAATATGTAAATTGGTGCAAAAATAAAAAAATGAAAACATTTGTATTAAAAAATCAAAGTCTTACATTGAAACGATGAACCGCAGAAAATACATTAATGGAACAACTGTCATAAGAGCGCATTACTATAAGTTAAAATTAGGGCATCTTCCTTGTTTTAAATCTCATTTAAACGAGATCAGGATTCTTTTTTTGAGGCTGTTAGTGAGTAATGTTATTGAACTTCTGCTGCATTATCTATGTGAAAAAAACACAGGGAACCATTTGAAAATTCCACGATTACTTGCAATTTAGTTTTGCAGTTAAATAAACATTTATGTGATAAGTAAAGTTTTGCATGCGACACTGCCAATCAGGGACAATTATGAAGCAACATCTAAACGAATACCACTAAATCGCTCTCTATTGGCACCCGTAAAAGAATATGTGAGATAATTTGCGCTATTCGGCTAAGAAAACAAGCTTTTACGTTTAATAATTGCATAAATGCAAAAACACTGTAAGTAACCTATAAAGCGACTACACCGACCTCTTTGTTGGTTAGTATATTTTCTGCTCCAATAACCAGAAATAATCAATCTGAGAGCCGCTAGAACTTTTACTAATAAGAAGTTTAAAACGTTTATTGCTCTAGGCACAACCGTTAGCCCAATAATTTTATTCATTCGACTTTTCAGATTTATGTTCCAACCCATCCTCAACAACAACAACATGAAACTCGCTTGCTTATATAGGCTCCAGTAATAGCTTCGAGCAAGAATCAGAAACGGCAAGCACATGAAGTTCTTATTCCAGTCATAGGTTTTACTTCGTTTCGTCTGCTTTCTGGGGCTGGGAGTTTTTTATGTTACTTATACTATCTGTGTACATGCACAAACACATATGGGTATATATTAATATCGTACATAAAAGAGTGTATAAGATTTAAGATTAAACAGCAAATTGCTTCATTTAACATACTTAAAACACTGCAAACATGCAAACTGCACAGATTTTCCATCGCATGTGGCCCGATATAGCTAGAATGTGCAGAACTAACTTTGGACCTATCTCAAAAACATTTGTTCCGGAGAATGTGCAATAACCAGTTCAAACATTAACCAGGTGCCTTACCCTCAGACTCGGAGCCAGAGTCGGAGTCAGATGTGGAGTCTGAATCTGAACTATCCGAATCGGAACTGTCAGAGCTAAATGAGCAGCCTGTAGCAAGACAAAGAAACCCCAGATCAACTTTTTAGGACTTTGCTCAACGTTAACACTGGTATGCCAAAAGACTGAATTTCAGGGCTGACTTATGCGCTTTTTTAAACACAAATCTCTGTCTGAAGAAGCAATGGCAGTCACCGAGAAAGGATGATTTTTATTTGACGTTTCGGGCAGTTATCTCGTCTAGCCATTATCAGATGGTGAATACGCTGGCTCCTGGTTCTCGCTATATACCGTTCTCTTCTTCCGCGTGAACGCATCGAGAATCAACTTTTCACGAATATTGCATATCCCTGTCTTAAGGCAAATATTTTAACAAAGTTTGAAAAGCAGATCACTTATATATAACGGTGTGCTCTGCCCCCCGTATAAGGATAACTTAGTACATATGTGTACATCGATCATATACAGGACACACCTGCTCTGGTATTTTCCGCCTTTTCAGCTGTCGTCGGTGGCTGCAAATCGCACAACCGTTTCCACATGACTAATTATATGTTACTTACTAGATTTCAGTAAAATTACCGGCAAACGTTTACGGGAGATGCACGATAGCTATTTCTGCCTCATTAGGCTTCATCAAATGCACTTACCCAACTCCAGTTTACACGTATGTACTAATCTATATCCCCGATCGACAACCGGCCAAATTTCGAGCCAGATGGCTCGATGCTTAGGGCGTTTGCCCCTAGCCGGAGAGACGCGGGTTTGAAACTCGAGTGTGACGGCAATTTCTGTGGCTACGCTGGAGTTGGGTAACTGTACCTGATGACGCCAAATGAGGCAGAAATAGCTATCGTACATGTCATTCAACGTTTGCCGGAAATGCCATGTAAAAAGGATATCTCAATGATTATGCAAAGTTCGTAAATAACCCGACAACTATGCGTCAATTTAGCAGAACTTTCTTCGGATGCCTTAATCCAATTCAGCTAAGTGCAATTCACTCAAATACTTCCTTGAGAGAGCGCATTAAAGCTTTCTGAGAAAGCTAAATCGTTGATACACTAACCTAGTTATATTCATTCCATGATCCGTGTAAGCATTGCCCCCTTTGCCAATAAAAGCAAATATCCGTGTCCCAGGAAGTAATTCAAAAGAAGAAGACTCGATCGCTGGGACAATATGTTTATTCGCCTGAC